TTTTTCACTCCAATACTGTTTCTCCAATTTGCTGTTTCTTTCAACGACTAACAGATACAAAGAATTTCATGGAAACAAAACAATTCATAGTAATTTTAAGAGACAAGCAATAATAACAAATTTATTATCAAGTAATTAAGAAAATTCTATATAATTCCTTTTACAATAGAAAAAAATATATGATAAAATAAAGAACCACTTTTAAAATTGCAATATTATTTTACAGACAATAGAATTTTATTGCATAAAGAGAGATTTAAAATTGGGTGTATAATGGATTACACTTGGAATATATTTTCATTTATAAATAATTATCAATTACGTGATGAATTCACGAAGAAAATTGATCAGAAGATTTCTTATTCAATTTTTTTTCATCTTCATCTTTCGAATTACATTTTACGAAGAAATTCATCTAACTCAAAAATTTTAAAACTATTCCAAATTAATGCATATTTTTATGTACGTAGAACATAATGCATTACACATAGAGCAATTTTCTTGATGAGAAATTTTTTTCAACGATAAAAGATAAAATCAACCCTCTAAATTATCAACATTTTTTTCAATTCTTTTTTTTAACAGCAAGCCGATAAAGTATCAAACTCCTTTTTAATTTAACTTTATTCGATTTATTATAACATTGTATTTAAAGAAAAAGAAACTTTGGATCGTTAATTTCATCTCTTTAAAATTCTCGATGAAAAAAAAATTGCTTCACATAATTCATTGTTCATAAAGTTTCGTTAAGAAATTAATTTGATCAATAAATAAAAAAATGTTCGAATATATATATATATTCTTTTCCCCTCTCGCAGAAATTAATAAAAATTCCAAAAAAAATCCTTAATCCAATAAAATTTAAAAATTAAAATCAACAGATAGTTGAAGAAAAACCAACTAAAAAAAAATCGATCAGATATGTCGAACAACGGTGACAATCGAACGCGGGACCAAGAGATGGAGGAAAATCGTGCCTCGTTCGATCATACAATTCCTCACGACGACGACACCCCATTCGAGATCCCTCCTCGACCCCTAAATTACCATCGATCGATCGACAATTGCTATATACTGTGCCCAAGGGACGGCCAAGAACGCGCCTCCTTTTATCTCGAGTGCATCGAGTTCGCGAACGAGTTCCACACGGGCAATCGTCTCTGTCCATCTTACATACGCGACGAGGTACCGCGCCGCACAAAAATCTCGAAACAGAGCAGAAGCAATTCGGTGGTCGATCAACGCCGTCGTTCCAGCGTTCAATCGAACCGCTCGAGGACAAACAGCTGCGGCAACAGCAGGCCAACACCGTTAGGTAGGAGACAATTGGGTCATCGGACTTTTCCGATCGATGGGAATACGCATCGCGGTATTTTGTCTTTCGGTATATAACCGATTGGGAAGGGTAATAGGGTGGGATGGAAGGAAATTTTTTATTTTTCCATTTGTTTGAGTGAAAAATTCGATTGGTGGGAAACAAGTGAACGATTTTCTCTTTAATTTTATATTCAAATTATGATTAATTTTGGGCAAAATTTTAACAGGTGAAGTTAAGAATAATGTTACATTGATAATTTATTATTCGAATCGTAGATAAAAGATTGGACTAAAAGAAGATCAGCTATGAACGTTTATAAGAGTATTTTAAATGTTTACATAAAGTTATAATACTTGAAGTACACTTTATTCGAAATTTTTAGATGTTTACTCGATTCAATTTGTTTGTTTCTTTGTTAATTGAAAATTAAAAAACTTGAGGTGAGCTTTATTGTTTCCAAAAATAAAATAAGAAAAAATTATTGCGTACTATAATTAACCATTTTTTCGCTTATAATTTACAAGTAATTTAAAATATTGGCGGATTAGTTTTTTTTGTATTTGTTATGATAAATTTTTAATATTTTAATTAATATTTTTTTATTATTCTCAAAAAAAAAAATATATATATATATTTACTTATCTATTTTCATTTTATTCTTTAAAAGAGAATCGTGTATCAAAAAACATTGATATTGGGAAACATTGATATATAGAATCAAATGTTTTAACGCAAAATAATTTTTTATTCATTTTCCATATATAATCCTTTACATAAATGGAATTACATTTATTCAATAGAATGAAAATTAACGTATAAAATTTCTCGATTATTTACATTTTTTCAATATTAATTTTTGTATTACATATTTTGTTAACGATTCATACCTATACCATTTCAAACAATTAAACACGTGATATAATGTTTTATATATCTCTGAGATGACGTAAGAATATAAAATGCGATAAATTAAATGAATAAAGCGAAAAATTGGGTCTCATTGAACTAACACAAACTTCATCAACACCGATAATAATACTAATAATAATATTAACTGCAAGAATAATGAAAAAAAGTCACAATATATATAATATATATTATATATATTAAAATAAAATAAAATATATCTGTTATATATTTATCATCAATTATATTATTGTCAGTCACTGATACCGACGAATTCTATTCGATGAAGTTTGTGTCACTTGTGTTGTAATAGGACCCAAAAGAGGGTTAAATATAATAACCATTCAAAAGAAAAAAAAAATGTTCAGGGAATGGTAGAAGAGGTAGCTCGAGTAGAAGAACGAAAGTACGAAGGACGAGTTCCACTCGTAGAAAGGATTCTGTCCAGCCTTTAAAAACGGTAGTGAAAGAGGCACAGAAGATCGTGGAGGATGAACGAACTTTAGAGCAAGCGAGACGCCATCGAAGGATTGCTATGATCATCGTGGGAACGTTTATTTTCCTTCTGGTGGCTTCCGTACTCGTGGTGGTGGTTACATTAACCCACAGCACGTTTTTGAGCCCGCCTATGGGCTCCAAGGAGCTTGCTGAGCATCGAGCTCAGACGTAAACTATCATTTTGAAATACCTTATCGTACGAGTGATATTGAGAGAAATAAAATTTTTAGAATAATGTGTGTTCGATACTGGAATTAAACTTGGACGAAATTTATTCAAAATAATAATTTAGAGATAATTAAGAAATGGGGTTGAAAAGTTGGAGACTTGAATCAATATAAAAATATATATTTAAGAAAAAATTAATTTTTTTTTTTTGTATATTTTTATATTCTTCAGTTCAAATTCCGATTAATAGACTGTGGGTTTTTATGTAATAAAAATATCTTCAAGTATTCAACTATATATACATTTACAAATTATCATAATATATAAAACATATCCTATGCTTTGTATTATAATAAAAGTCTACTGCAAAAGTCATGCAATGAAACTTCGAAATTTTTTATATAAAAAAAAATGCGAAAAACTTATTCAAGAAATAAAGAAAATCGTGCTATTGAAGTCACTTTTTGTTTTATCCCGATATCTGGATCGGTTGCCGAGATACAAGGACTCAGGCTCGCTTAAGGCACTGCGGGAGTTATGAATGGGACCGCGACCCAGTGACCTATATTTCTTTCTGAAAATGAGTACTACGCTTTTCCAAGAATTGTATCTGTCATTTGTTTAGCATTGGTCGGTGACTAGATGCGAGTCAGAGATCCGAATAAATGACAAGAATGAAAGTAGTAAATAGAAACTAAAAATTATCCTTTTCTTTACACGACGATATCTCAGGAACAGGAAATTGTATCGAGATAAAAAAAAATGCGTTTTAAAGAAGAAGATTCTGCGCTTCCAATAATCGTTCATTCATCATTTCATTTGACCGGAAATCACTATCTTCGGAGTTATAGCGGTTCAAAGTTTTTCTAATTTTAATAAAATTTTTTAAATATTATTGCGATAGGTCATAAAGAAGCACGAGCGAAAAGTCCGAATAAGTGACAAAGATGGAAATAGCAAAAAATTAAAAATTACTCTTTTTTTTACACGATCATATCTCAGGAACCGGAAGTTGTATTGGGATAAAAAAAAATTAGTTTTAAAGAGGAAGATTCCGCGCTTCTAATGATCTCTCATCTATTAACCAAAAATTACTATTTTCAGAGTTATAATGGTTTAAATTTGTCTTAATTTTAATAAAGTTTAATCGAGTTTTAAGTAAATTATGAGATAAATATTTCTATTTCTGAAAAAATATTATTTACTACGATCTTATTAAAAATTCTAAATTGATTTAAGAACTTTTTTGAAGTAACTTGGATTTTTATTTAATCAATTGGATTAATTATTTTGATTAATCAAACAAATTTTATGATTTTCATTATTATCATTATTTTTGTAATAGAAGCTTCTGTGTTTATATCACTCATGTATAATAAGAAAAACATATATAATAGGAAAAATATATATCTACATGAAAATCTGCAGTCTAAAAATTAGTATATTAATTATAAATAAAAAATCTCAAATAATGTGATATTTAAAAAAATATATAAGTTTTATGTATAATAATATAGTTTTATATTCGCTCAATTTACTTAAATAAGAATAATCTAAATAAATGAAATTTATCTAAAAAATATGTGTATTTGAATAGTTATTAGTTTAATTAATAATTAATAAAGGAAAAATTGGAATAATAGAATAAATTATAACAGTATCGATTCTGTGAATAAATGAATATCTAATTGATTTTAATATTAAAGAACTTTTTCGTTAATAAATTATTAATATAAGTGAAATCAGAATTTATATAGAAAAAAAACTATATTTAAAAAAAACATAATTTTATTATTATTTTAATTTAAATATAATTATTTTTGTTTTTTTTACAAATTTTTTAAAAATATAATTTAATTTTCTACAATATATTTATTATCAATGATATTTCTATTAAAAAATAGAAAATTTCATAAAATTGAAAATAAAAGTAGAAAAGTATTCTGATGAATAATATTTTCATTTGAGCAAAATTGTAATAACATATCTGATTTCACTCAGCATTTTCATACAATAATATTTACAAAATGAAACGTAAATATTAAATAAAATTAATAACATCACTTAGAAATTGCACAAATTAACAATATGATATTCTAATCGATTTCAGTGCGCAGAGAAAACGAGGAGCTGTTGAATTCCCTCAACAGAGTCTTCGTAACTGAAAACTCAACAATGACACTCTGAAGAAACTGTTTTCTAAGGAAGACGAGTGGCCTGTTTTGATGCGTCTTTCGAAGAAGTTTGAAATTGAGGCAAGAAGCAAGAAGCAGAAGAAGAAGAAGAAGAAGAAGAAGAAAAAGAAAAACTATCGCTTAACTTCGAAGTAGAAGAAGAGATCAAGGATCGTTTTTCAAAAGCAGGCAAAGTTTTATTACAATTCCATTTTATCCAAGACATATAGTTAGGTGTAGCGAGGAAATTTCATTTGTCTATGTCGACACGAGGCTAATTTGTCCACTCTGCCGATAGAATACGAACTTCGAATTAAATCTATAACAAGATGGTGTCGACATCTGTAATTCTGTTCTCGTTGTTTCGAAGGTATGTCCAATCTCACTTTTTTTTCATTGAAATGTATAATTTGATATTCTCTGGGAGGAATCGAATATTACACTGTCTCAAAAATTCTTTTCATTTTTTTTTTTTTTTTCTATACGAATTTATTATGTTTTTTTAGAACTTTTGCAATTTCGATGGATCATACAATGATATTTTGTCGTTTGTGAAATTTTATAGAATTGATGGTATTAATATTCCATCTATTATTTTTTCAAAATGATTTTGATTTATTTAAAATAATCAAGATGACTGTTAAAATTATATCAATTGATTAATTTTCACCATGATTTATAATTATATCAATAATTAGTAAAAATATGTTTTATGTTATGTTTTATAGAAGAATATTTCAAATATTTAAAGAATAAAAATAATAAATGATTAAAGTAATGCATAAATAGATGAATGAATAAATATATTAAGTACCATTAGTTAATGATCACGTAGCGCTAGTGTCGCGTCATTAATCATCATAGTGTCATGTCAGATTTTTAGTATCAAAGAATAAATTTTTTTATAATCAAGTACATTTTATTTAATATAATTGTAAAAGAATAGATGTATAAAAGAATAGATCTATTCAACTTGTAACTCGATAATTTTCTAATATTATTGATTTTATAAAATATATGAATGATAATTTTATGAAAATTTTATGAAAAGATACTTAACAAAAATACAAGTGTTCTTGAAAAATGAAAAATAATGTCAATAATTTCTTAAATGTACAAAAATGGAAAGAATTTTTGAGACAATCTAATAATATACAGGATGTTTCCTATTTTCCTATCAAATTGCAGGAGCACAATCTATATATGAAAATAGAAAAAAAAAATGTATACAAAATATTAATATATTCTTATGACAGAGATAGAGCCAAGTATTTTTATTTTATTCATTTAAATTAACTAACTTTTTTGTTTGTTTTGATCTTTAGAATCGACCTTCTAAAGATGTCTTATGAATATATTAATACTATGTGAAGTTTGTAAATGTTTTCAAAGTTATAAATAGAATTATACATTAAAATATATGCAATCTAAATATTTGCATAACAAATTCTACATTATAATAATTCGAAATATCATTTTTTCAGATAAAAATATGAACAATTTAAACGATTAATTATTAAATATAAAAATTAAAAAAAATGTTATAATATATAAATAAAGTAAAATCAATTTAATACTGAACTCTATTATTAACGCATTTAAGGTGCGTTTAATATTAGCCTAGAACTTTGTAACATTTTAAACAAACTTTTACATTTTCATTTATAGATTATACAATTTTTGCATAACGATTCTTTTCATATCATTTTTGATTTCTTTTCATATCAAAATTAAAATTAAAATTAAAAATAAAATAAATAATTTAAAATATAGGAGCCAACCTTTTCTCTTTAACAACCGTGCCAAAAAAAAAATATATATATATACACTTTTTCTATATTATTTGAAAAGAAAAGAAAATCAATATTTTTATTAATTTCTTGTAACACTTTCATTACTCCTATAATTACTCAAAATTGAACCAACAAGAATTAAAATTGGAAATATACTTTGTTTAAAAATCCACTATTAATTAATTTGAGAACCACTGTTCCTGCAGTTTTCTTAAAAATTGGAAACATCCTGCACAATTGTGTCAAATACGAAGATAGAAAAAAAAAAAAAAGAAAAAAATTAAATAAAATAATAAGAATCCACAAAAAAGTTATCTGCGACGATTATATGTAGACACAAGTCGCAATTGTTAGTTTGTTGTTGTTATTGGCGCGGCAAATGGATGACCATATGAGCCTTGTTACGAAACTGCATTGTATCGTTCGTTCGATGCACAAGAAATTCTATTCCAAATAAAAATGTACTGTATACTGAATTTCGATCCCACATCATATAATATCGACAACGAAGAAAGGAATGTTTAAAAAAAAAAAAAAAAAAAAAAGAAAAGAGTTCATGAAACTCGATTTTAAAACTCCTTGTTGGAAAAAGAAATCCAAACAATCAGTATTCCTGAGACAAAAGTGTAACCTTGCTATTGTTCCATCGATATGCGTAAATGAAAGTGTGTTGTAAATACATATATATATACAGGGTGTTCCATTTGAAATCGTCTCTTAAACTGTTCATTTTTTAAAAGAATGTTTCAAATGAAAATTACTTTCTTTACGGTTGCAAATTAAATCTTATCTTAAATCCTGATGGATGAGATTTCAAGGTGATCTTCGTCTATTATTAATGGAAATGTATGTATGTGTTCAGATAGACGAAATCAATGATTTGTAAGTCTTGACATGTCTGAAGTCATTCAAGGTGATATTGACATTGAAAACTTCGTTCTTTTAAATATTCTTTCTTTAGATTTCGTTTATCTGAATATTTCATCGATTCTGTTATAAACATAAATTGAAATTAATGATCATCGCGAGAAACAAAGCAATTTTTGATTTGAAATATTTTTTTTTCAAAAAATGAATTTTAATTTAGGGGAAAATAATGGAACGCTATTGTATATTTACAATTTTATTTCAAATTATAAGTAGACTTTGTAAAGACTTTGATATTTTTGATTCCTATTAATGCTCGAAATTGAATAAATTATTTTTTTCTCTCTTTGTTATTCGTGTGATTTCTAATTAAGAACAAGCTTAATTATTAATTATTAATTAAAAAAAATTGTAAATAATTGAAAAAAACGAAATTATATCTATCGTTTTTCTTTCTCTAATTATATATGATTTCTCGATTGTGTAAATTTGATTTTATTACCGAGAAATGTAGAATGGTTATAATTTTCGTTGCAAAAGTGTCTTCCAATTTAGAGAAAACGTAAGTAGTTATTAAATGAGTGAATTACTCGATTCCTTTTTCCCAAGGAAGATACTCGTGAAGAAATCTTTCGAATTAAATATTTATTACACGAAGCATTGATCGTTAGAAAAATAGCCAGAATAATTGTTGTTATCAATGTCACATGAGAAAGAATTATATTATTCTGATATTTAAGAGAAAAAATGCAGGAAATGTTGGACTTCGTGTATTAACAAGAATATCGTCACGATAAATATTTTGCACTTAAAAATGAATTTTATTTATATGAAACATCATTAGATTAAATATTAAAAGAATCTATTTTATTCTTCAAATGTAATAATTGAATTTTTTTTTTTTTTTGTTTTTTGAATACATTCAAATTTTAAATAGATTTAAATTTAAATCATATATAGTTACAATATTTTTTAATTTTTATGAATATTAATCACAGAAGTAATTATCATTTGTCAATTAATTTTATAGAAATTGAAACGTAAAATTTAATGATAAAATTATAGATATATCATAATAAATATATACTTTGATTGTTTATTTTGACTATTTATGATCTCAAACAAGATTTTCATGCAATAAAATAATATTGAATAAAATTAATAATAAAAAAACAATGTAAGAAAAAGTAATTTTTAAATTTTAATTTCTTTGTGTACGCGAATAGAATTAATTTTTTTTTTCAAACAATCAATGAAACAATTATTAAAATAGTTTTTTATAATAATCGTGACAATTTTCCTATTGATATACACAATTTATACTTGTATTTTAAACACAATTGAAATCGAAACAAATAATATCTATAACATAAAGCTTGATCGATTCATCAATGGATAAAATTGTTTGATTTCTCTTGAAACTCATTTGAATAAACTATTTTACGTCCATAAGATGCGCATCAACGTCGACGTATACCAATGAAAGAACAGCTTTTGTCGCGACAATATTGTTCGAGAAGAACTTATCGATGCCGCTATTTTAGATCTCATCACCATTTTAGATTTAGTCGCAATCAAAGTGTCAAAGGATGGATCTGAACATTGGCAAATGTTTCGTCGTCTAATCTTATAAGTCCTAGCTTCTGAAACCTCGCCTTTTAGAAATAATAATTAAATAACAATTTAAAAGGTATCTCTTATAATTTTGCCAGAAAAGAAAAAAAAAGTCGTGAATAAAATTTTGGATACTTATAATAGTGATGAATTGTTAATTATTGTCGAAACGATGGCTCGAACGAAAATTCGTTTAAGAAGAATTACAATTGATAATTAACTTGTGAAAGGATAGAATTTTTTTCGTCGAAAAAAAATTTAACTTTCATTAATTCAAATTATGGAAAATATACGAAGCAAACGTGTAATTCTGTTCAATTTGAAACAAATTGAAATAAAGATTAAGAAACTTTTTGGAAAAAGATATAAACAAAAATTTTATTCGATATCACATAATTATTTTCAAAATGTTACAATTAATTTTCTAATTGTAGTTATACTGAGATTTTTGGTTAATATAATAAATTTTATAGAAAAATTTTCTATAAATGATAATATTCAAATCTGAATTTCTTCTTTAATTTCTTCTATTCCATGAAATAAAATTTATAATCTCAAATTATAGAGTTTTGATCTCAAAAACTTATTTCTATATTCTTTATTTTTATATAACATGTTCTTGTATTATCAAAATTGTTTAAAATGTTTTATAGTAAAATATTTTAATATATGAAATAGAATATTTTGATCATGAAGATATTAAAAATAATTATAAATTCTCTTCTATAAAGCTTCTTAATTATTTCTAGTATATGTTCTAATATATATTTAATAAAATTTGAATTCGAGAACTTTGCAAGAGAATGTGGCACATTCATTTGTAAAATTTGTAAAATTAATATAAATTAAAAAAAATTGTTTATTACTTAAATTATTATCTAAAATTATTACCTAATAATCTAATCTAATCTATTTAAAAAATGACACTAATTGAAAAAAATAAATGTTTTCACAATAAGTGATAAATTTTTTCTAGCTAGTGATAAAATTTTATTCACTTTTTGGTAAATTATTCAAATTTAAAGTTGTCTTTAATTTTTACTAAATTATAAAAAAAATAATAGAATAGACAATAGTTAATAGACAATACAACACATCATTTATCATTATTTTATTAATCAAAAATATCATCTTTTGTTAGATGCAAGAGAGAAAAAGAATTTGCATTCTCTTTTACATTTCACAAAACAATTCAAAATTTCTAAAAAATTATTTGTATCTTAGAATATAGAATTTATATATTTCGATTAGATACATAAAATGTATTAATAACTCAAAAACTATTAAAGATGGAAGATGGATCTGCCCTCTTACTGCAATG